TGTCATCTCCTATGGGAAGCCTTTCCTAATCCCCTTTGTTGTTAGTACTTTCTCTTTCTCAAAAAACAACTATATATGCATACATATATGTATATATATGTTTACATGTAGCTTTCTCTATATTTACATGTACCTATTTATATATACATGTATCTATATATCTATATCTACACACCTGTTTACATGTATCTCTCCTTCCCTCCCCTCCCACCTTTCACCTCCCAGTAGGCTCTTGAAGTACAAGGAGTATTTTGTTTTTGTTTTTGTCTTTGAATTCCCAGCACCTGGCCCTCGACCTGGTACCTTTCAGATCCTTAATAAATGTTTGTTGGAAATATTCTTTAAGAAATAAAGAATGACTTAATAACTAGAATAATACTCATTGGCATGGCTAGGTATGGCTATACTACCTAAAGGACATTATATTACATTAAATTACAGATTTAATACTATACTGATCAAACAAAGGCAGAGTTTTTTAGAGCCAGCCAAAATAATAACAACATTTTTTTTTTTGAGGAACAAAAGGTCCAAAATCTCAAAGGGAATAATGGAAAAATCAATCAGTCACTCAATCAATAAGCACTTAAGAGCCTCTCCTGTGTCAGTACTATGCTGGGTGCTGGGGATACAAAAAAAAAAAACAGGGAAACTATCTAGGCTTTCTAGAAGCTTCCAATAGTTTGCAATTCTTCTTTCCAGATTTTGCAGATTTCTTCTTTGTAGATTTCTTTTGTTCCTCCACTCATCCTTTGGGATCATGGGAGTACAGACTTAGCACTGTAAGTGACCTCAGAAGTCATCAAGTCCAATCCTCTTATTTTACAGATAAGGAAACTGAGGTCCAGAGAGGTAAAGTGTTTTATCTAAGGTAACACAAGCAGTAAGTGGCAGAAACATTATGAACATTATAGAATGAATTTATTCAGAATAAATACAAGTCAGCTGTCTGCCACGGTGGACAGAGTGCCAGACCTGGAGTCAGGAAAACTCATCTTCCTGAGTTTAAATCTGGCCTCAGACACCTACTATCTATGTGACCTTGGGCAAATCACTGAACCCTGTTTGCCTCAGTTTCCTCATCTGTAAAATGAGCTGGAAAAGGAAATGGCAAACCACTCCAAGTATCTTTGCCAAAAAAACACAAATTGTGTCCTGAAGAGTTGGACACAACTGAAATGACTAAACAGTAACAACGGAAGTTAGGGAAGGAGAACACTGAAGTTGAGGAGATCAAGAAAGGAGTATAGCACTTCCAGAACTCAAATTACATTATAAAGCAGTAATCACCAAAGTTAGTTGATACTGATTAGAAAATAGGAATGAGATCAATAGAACAGTCTAGGTAAAAAAGAGACAGAACAAAATGAACCCCACAACTTAGTTTGTTCAATAAGCCTAGACATAAATTACTTGGAGGAGAGTTCCATATTTAATAAGAACTTCTAGGGAAATTGGAAAGAAGTTTAATTACAACCAAAGAAGAAACCACAATAAACTCAAAATGGATATGTGAACTGAATATTTAAGGTCACGTCATAACAAATTTAAAGGAGAATGAGATCAGATAGCTTTCACAATTATGGCTGAGGTTGGGTGGGAAGGAAGAGCAGAGGGTTCTTAATCAAGGAAGGGATAGAGATGATTACAAAACATATAAAAGATTATTTTGAAAATCTTTTTCATGAACAAAATCGATGCAACTAGAATAAGATGCTGTCAATTGATGGAAAGAACTTTGAATCAAATATCTGATAAGGGTCTAATATTCAATACATAAAGTAGAAAGATAGCTAATATATACAGAGAACAGATATATAAGACTAAAAGCCATTCACTAGCATGTAGGCAACATAGTACAGTGCAAAAGCCATAAGGTTTAGAATAAGAGGATCTGGGTTTGATTCCTAACGCTGCCACTTACCTTGGGCAAAGTCACTTTACATTTCAGGGCCTCAGTTTCCTCATCTATAAAATAAGAGGTTTGTACTTGATAATCTCTTAAGGCTGCTTTCCAGCTCTAAATCTATGGTCCGGTTACCAGTGGACAAATGGTCAAAGGATATAAACTAACAGTTCTCAAGAGAAGAATTGCAAACTATTAACAATCATATGAAAGATAACCCTAAATCATTTAAGAGAAATGTGATCAAAACTTCTCTGAGGTTTCACCTCATACCCAGAAAGTTGTCAAAGGTGACAAAGATGGAAACAGTCAATGCTGAAGAGACTTCAGAAAAAGAAGAACATTGTTGATAGAGTAGTGAATTGCTTCTGGGAAAGAATTTGGAATTATGCTAAAAGTTACTAAAATGTCCATATCCTTTGATGCGGCGATCCCCCTGATGAAATATATCCCCAAAAAGTCCAAAATAGAAATAAAAGTACCATATATAATCACATTTTCAGAGAAGCTTTTTTTTTTGTTTTAGCAAAGAACTGGAAATAATGTAGGCACCTATAACAAAGAATGGTGCATGAATGTAATAAAATATTACACTGTCATAAGAGATGATGGATATGAAGGATTCAGAGAAGCATGAGAAGACCTTTGAATTGCTATAGAGTGACATCAGCAGAATGATTATACTGATCAAACTTGGCAGTGGAGAAAAGATGAGAAATGTACCTCCTCCACTTCTTTGCAGAGGTGAGAGATGATGTGTATGGAACATTGCATGTACTGTCAGGTTCTGTTGATATGTTGTTTAGTTTACTTCACTGATTTTTTTTTCTCTTTCTCTTTAATAAAAGATTCCTTGTGATGGGTTGCTGGTTTGGGGAGGGGAAAGAGATATATTTGGAAATGACGTTACTGCAAAAACAAAATATATCCTTAAAAATCTTTTTTAAAAAAAGTTTGTTAGATTGGATTGGACTGGAATGGATTGGATTGGAGGAGGGCCAACCAACAGCAGCCTTCTCCGCATGAGTACATAGCAGTTCAGGGAACCTTGTTTCCAAGGAGCAGGAGAAGCCCTTGGCAAACAAGACATTTAAAAGTCAAGCCTCTGCACCAGGTGGGAAAGTTATAAACAAAAAAGAAAGGGCAGGACCCCACAGTCTACCACCTCCTAGTAAAAGCCTGAAAGGACAAAGGGAGCAGAGGGAATAATAGGGCTGGTCATTAGCACTAACCAGCCAGCCAGCCCTTCAAGAGAAGAGCACAGAAAAAGATTATGGAACACTGAAACATCAAAACATGAAAAATAGATGCAGAACAATTGATATGAGGGAGGGTAGCCAGCTGACAACAGATGGATATAAATAATGTGGCAACCAAATTGTATGTTCTTGTACCTGCTGGTGTGAACCAGTCCCGTCCCCCCCACCCCCACACCCTACTCTCTACTCATCCAGGTAGGACACCAAACATCTCCCTCTGCTGTAGAGAAGAAAGAAGGTAAAGGGGGTGGGATCTTAGAGGATAGACATTTCCAGCACTGTAATAATAATAGCAAGCATTTATGTAGTTCTTTAAGGTTTGCAAAGCGCTTAACAAATATTATCTCATTCTGTCCTCACAATAATCCTGCTATTATTTATCCCCATTTTATAGATGAGGAAATTGAAGCAGGCAGCGGTTAAGTGATCTTCTCAGGGTCACACAGCTGGAAGATGCTTAAGGCTGGATCCTGAACTCAGGTTTTCCCTGACTCCAGGTCCAGCACTCTATCCACTGAGCTGCCTCCTAGTAACCAAAGAAGTCCAAGAGGAAGAGGTGAAATACATTGGCAATAATAGTGCTGCCCCTGCAATGGTGTGTAGAGGAGATTAAAGGAGGAATAATGGCTCTTGCTGAGGTGTCTCTCTGCTGGTTTGTATGGTTTGCAGAGGAAAAAGTCAAATTTAGGTAAGCCTGTAGAGCTCAGGAGCAGCACAGCTGCACTGTCCGGGAGGTCCCTGGAATGTCTCCAGTGCAGGCATCTTTGTGGTTTTTTTCCCCTGAGTACTGATTGGCAAGGAGACTACCAGGGGAGAGTGCGCTCTGTCTGCGTATTCTTTCCCCAGGCGTCTGGAACCCTTCTTACCCAGGAGTCTCTTTTCTAGGACTCCATCTCATAACTCTGAGGGCCATTTCAGTAAGACCACATATCTGTTGAGTACATGTATGGAGAAGAAAAGAGAGTGCCTGAAGTTATCTAAATGTATTCCAGATATCAGACAGGCATGTTTACAGGAAATAAGGGGTGTGTCCTAGGGGATGTATATCCATGAAAACAGAGACGTATACGGAAAGGACAAATAGTGCTCATAAAGAGGAAAGGTGTGTATTTTGAGGGGATTGGGTGACTCCCAGGGAGGACATAGGGATGTCCAAAGGCTGATATGTTCCCGAAGGAGGACCTATGTCCAAAAGAGTGGGCAAGTGTCATGGAGAAGATACGGGGTTATAATAAGTCAGTGATTATATTCTGGGGAAACTGCCAAGTGTGGTACACTAGAGTCTGGTCTGCCATCTTTGGGTCATTTCACTGGTTCCGTCCACCTTTGAGTGTCCTTGATTTGTGTGGACACCAGAGGGCAGCATGTGGCCAGGCTGTAGTTTGGTGTCCAGAATTGTAGACAACACCTCTGTCTTAGAGGGGGAGGGGAGAGCAGGGTCCAGGACGGAGCTCAGCGTAACTGGGAAAGAGCCCCTGTTGCATACTGCCCTCTGTCTTGAGACCTCTTTGGATGAATCTCTTTGGGGTCATCTTAGGATGTCTAGCCCTTTAGGTCCCTAAGGAAAGTAAGGCCAGGAAAGCAAGGATATTATACTCCCCCCTACACACACACACACATCATATCTCCCTATCCAGAGCGGATGGGAGTTGTTTCCTGAATGTTTCCTGAAGCTGGGTTAGGAGCAGTGTCAGGAAGGGCCCTACCCTCAGAGGAAGGAGCAGGAATGGAGAAAAAGATCAGGAAAGCTTTTATGAGAGGGAGTGTGGAACTCCATCTGGTTCCTTCCATCCTTGCTACCCCAAGCCCAGGGACCATGCCAGAAACAAAGACTCTGAGAGATAAGACATATAGTTTTATGGAGATCTTCTAGGGGGAAATCCCAATGATTGGTTTATTTATTATGATAATTCTAGAGCCCACATCCCCACCTTGTCTTTCCCTTTCTTCCCGTATTCCCCCCAGAAGTTCAGACTGAACTTCCCCAGGGGGTAATGGGGGGGGGAGGATTGATGGAATAGAGTCCCAGGGAAGGGGAGGAATTGGAAATTGGACTGAGATATTTTGATGAGGGGCAGGGATGTTTTATGTCTGGACCTCACTGTCCTTACTCCGCCATACCACCAGGGTGACAAGGAAAGGGATGAGGCAGATGGGAGCAATGATCAGTGCAAGCAGCACTTCCTCTGGAGGGTCAAAGAAGAGGGGCCGCCGCTCTAGTGAGCAGTTGGCAAAGTACATCTGGTGACTCTGGAAGATGATCTGCTCAGCCCAGGGATTGGGGAAACCCAGTTTGAAAAATTCTGCCAATTTCTCCAGGCAGTATTGTAAGTTGCTGTATGGCCTGTGGGGGTGGAGGAATGGGTAAAAAGAGAATCAGAATGAGGGAGGGCTGGGGAAAGGCCATTTGCTGTGTCACTATCCCACCCCAGACCCAGGGCCTTGCCCTCATTTGTACTTGGTTCTTCAAGACAATACCCAGCCCTTAGGAGTAGGTCCCACCCCTTAGGTTCTGATCTATCACCCCAGGCCCATGGCCTAGTTCCCAGCCCAGCCTCTGCCTCCTACCTGCTGATCATGTCCCATTCACACCAGTCCTCTCTGCTGATGTTTTCCATGTGTTCCTCATAGAAAAACCAGCATTGTCTGGCTGTTAGTTCATATTTCTGCTCTGAGGTCATCACTATAGGCACAAATGCAAAAGGTCCCTCACACCTGTGTACCCTTGTGCCTTTCCTCTCTCACAACCCTGAACATCTTCCCCACCAAGGGTGGTTCTTCTCCCTCCTTCCAAACGCTGAGATCCCATGGAAGCCCTGAATACTCTCAAACTCCTTGAGTCAATTAAGGAGCTCCTTAAGTAAGTTCTCGTTGGGGAGATAGATAACTTAAAACAGTAAAAGGCACAGAGGGAGAAAGGGAAACAAAGTGGAAGAGCAATAATCATGTTTAGTGGGGAAGGGGGTAGGTACAGCTAGAAAGACAGAACAATATAGAGTTTAAAGGGAGTAGGGGGGTGGGGAAGCATTGATAGGGATTGGGCCCTTCCTTTAATGCCACTTTCCTTTAGTCGCTGGACACTCACCATTCTGCAATTTAGAGAGTTCCATGTTGTTGACATCAGGGACTGTCTGAGCATCAGAGCCTTGGGTATTTTGGGTAACTGCGGGAAGAAGAAGCTATGAACTGAAGTGAGAGCACAAATCATAGGCATCAACCTCAGTCCAGTGCTGCAAGGATACTGCAGAAGGGATGGGGCAAGGATCAAGGAGAAGGGAAAGAAGAAAGAATGGCAAGGGACAACCTTTTAAGAGTCTGTGTGTGCGTGGGTTAGCAAAAGTGATGTGATGTAGCAGAATGAGCAATGGACTTGGGGTCAGAAGGCCCAGATGCGTTGGAGTCCCAGAGCAAGGAAGATTTGGATACCTAGGTCAAGCTTACTGGCAATAGCCAAGTCACTGGAATTCTCATAGCTTCCCTTTTTTCCCCCCCAAAAAACGGGGGCAATAATACTTAACTACCTTCCTGACAAGGGCCGCTTCAAGACAAGTGCTCTGCAAACTGCTATATAAATGTAAGCTATTATTATTTAGCTCCTAGTAAGACTAAATTAGTCTGGCTGGGGACTCATTTACTAGGGCGAAGGGGAGTACTGATCCTTTCATACATAGGTTTCTCCAAGCTCCGGGAAGGAACTGGTTGGGACAGGCCCCTGCTAGAAAAGACAGGCCACAGCTTCCTTGAACCCCTACTCCTTCCCCACAAAGCTCATCCTCTGGTACGCATCTCAGCCCTCATAGATTTACCCTTTCCACTACAGTGTTTTGACCACCTCGAGAGGGGCTGGGGTGGAGGGATTCAAGACACATGGTGCCCAAACCCAGAGCCACCTCTCTCTCAGTTGACCTACCTCCCCCATCCCGGTCCCTCACACCCGTCCTTCCTCCAGCTCCTCTCCCCAGCCCTTCTTTCTGGCTCCCTTTCCCTTGGTCCCGGGAAGCATCTCACTCACAACAGAGCAGGAGGAGGAGCCAGAGGGGGCTTCCAAGTCTGGCTGGGGTCGCAGGGAGATGAGGAGAGCCACAGCGGCCGGTCCCGATTGAGGCCATGGTGCAGCCGAAGCAGAGAGGCAGCTGGCGGACCCAGAGCCAGGGCCAGGGCGGGGGGCTGGACGCCTATATCCCCGGCTCGAGCCGCAGGAAGCGGCGCAGTTTCCTCCGAGGGGCTGAGGCAGCTGTGGACACGTGGGGGGCGGGGGACGCCCCGGACCGGACGGCTAGAGGGGGAGTCAGCTTCCCCTCCCCACCCCGTGGCCTTTTCTTCCCTTCCTGCCCCGCCAAAACTTTGACCCTCCTCCCCTTCAAAGCGAGGCACCCCAACTCGCTGGACAGCTCCCCCTCGAAGCCTGGAAACGGTAGTTTCCCAGTCTCAGCAGCACTCGACCCTTGTCCTCTCTAACCGTTGACTCCTAGGTTCCCGGACTCCCCGTTCCTCTACCTCTAACTTGCCCCGTTTCCTCCTTGGAAGTGGGGGAACTCGAGCTGCCTTAGTGGGTCTGAGAACAGGGGATTTAGTTTAGTTGAGCCGGGAGTTTGAGGAGCTCAGGCTAAGGCTGATGGCCTGACGGAACGAATGTATGGATCTGGGGACTGTAGCAGACTGGGGTGGGGAATAGGGACTGGAGCGAGCTAGGGGCTGCCTGGAGCTGGGCCTTGGGCCGGGTAACTCAGAATTTCTTTTCCAGGGGAACACCCTCTGATGTCAGCCCAGTCTAACTGGAGAGAAGGAGGGGAGGGAAAGGGGACTCTTTGGGCGGGGAAAGGGCCTGGGCAAGGGGGGACCGGAGCCTTGTTATCCTCCCACTAGGGCTGCTAGCTCTTAGGAGGATGAGCGGTGGGTTAGTGGACAGGAAGGTGAGAGCTCCTATGGGTATTAGCTTTGGGACCTAAGAGGATCAAAGAAAGGAATGTGAGTGGATACTCAGGATGGTATCCAGGACACAACATGACAGATAGAACAAATCCGCAAAGCTCTGTGGAGTTAAACAAAACCTGAAGGGAAGGGAGTAAGGTTAGAGGTGCTGACCCAATCTGGATAATGACTGTCACAGCAAAGATCATCTCACCTGAAACTGACCCTAAATTGTTCCCATTGCCGGCACAAGTTTCCTGATTTTTCCCCTACTCAACCACTTCGCATAACCAAGTATCCCCTTGCCTCAGTATGAGCCTGGTTCCCTCTTCAGACCCACTAAATCATTAACCACTGGATCTAGTTATCTAAATGTCTACTTTCAAACTTAGGGGTCAACTTAGTGGGGAGAGAGTTGGTTATTTTCCCTCCTCTTATCTCTTTTCCCCCTGCCTCTTTCCCCTTTCCATCCAGGTTCCACTCCTATATTTGCTGATGGAAATACTCAGATGGGTATGGCTATGTTTTGAGGTGTGAGGATTTCTGGGTTGGAGTTGGGGAGCTACACCTCCTGAGGCAGTCCAGTGGACAAAGGGATTCACTTTACACATCCAGGTCTTATATTATTACCAGCATTAGAACCAATAACAAAAGGAGGAGGAAAATAATGTTACATTAATTTTAAAAAAATTGTTTCTGACAGGCTTGTGCTTAAAATATAAGGATGTAGTAATAATCATTTTTGAACAGGCCATAGCATACTTTGAGGTGGGAATGATTTGATTGACTAAATCAATCCACAACCACCCTTTTATATGCATAAGGATTAGTTTGGCTGTAGTGTTAAGAATTAGAGAAAGGGAAGAGGATGAATTAGAGATGAAAATCAGTTTAGGTGGTTATTTCAATGAGAGATAAAGACCTGTACTAGGGCAGGACCAAATAGGAAAAGACAGGATCTAGAAATAATGCAGAAATAAAATTGTCAAAATTTGGCAACTATATATGGAAGGTGAAGAAAAGAGTGCAGGCAAAGATAATATCAGAGTTTTGAACATGGGACAAGGGGTGAATAGTTGTGCCATAGGCAAGAGAAATCAGAAAAACATAAGGATAGGGTTGCATCCCTACCCCAATTAATATAATTAATTACAAGATGTTCAATGTAAGGGTGGTCACAGTGATAAAATTCTAAATGTCTCAACAAGGTAATTTAGTACTGTAATTTCTCTACAAAGTTCAAATTCCTCTTTAATTGGATCAAGAAGGAAACAGCCTAACTGGCTAACCAAACAAGCTAAATACATCCCTGGAGGATTTAAATAACAAAGGATTTTGGTAGTTGTTGCAGTCCAGCCATCTCTCAAGGAATCTCTCCAGGTTCAAAGGGAATCATTCCTTCAGATGGGAAGACAATTTCTCGCTCTCTCTTTTCCCTTCCACCCCCCCCCAACATCCCCATTGACCACGTCACTGGAGAGAAGAGATAAGGCATCTAGTCAAGAGCAGAGAGAAACACACCAAGAATAAACATGGCCATAGAGAGATACTGGGAAGGAAGCAACTAGATTGTACTAGAAAATAATGCTGGCTATGGAATCCAGGAGTCAGGCAGTGCTAATCTTCCCCTTTGCCCCGTGTGTATCCTGCCTATTTCCTTCACAACCAATCCACTCTTCCCCTGGAACTGTGTACTTGTAAGAGAGTATAGACCAGGTTTTTTGTACCAGATGTTCTTATTAAACAATCTTAGTAATTGCCCTTTACAAAAAAAGCTAATTAAATCTGGCTGATAACCAATGGGAAGAATAGCCGAGAGGTCTCGTCCATGCTAGTGTTAGAAATTTAGTCCTTCAGGATTCCTTATAGAACCCCCGTCTAGGAATCCATTCTTCCAATTCTAGGAGGAGTTGGGAAAGAAGCCCCAGAGGCTCTGGACACTAAAAAGGAGGAGCAGATTAAAGGGAAAAGATAGCTTAGTTTTAGAAGTGTTGAATATGAGTTAAAAGTGGGACATCCTGCTGGAGACAATTAGGCAGTTGGAAATACGGGTCTGAAATTTAGAAGAGAGATTTTTAGGGCTAGAAGTACAGATCAGTACAGAGGTAATAGTTGAAGCTTGTTCTCTTTTGGCACATTGGAATGTGGCTTCTGAAAGGGTCGAGGAATGCTGGATATGGTGAGTTTTGCCTGACAACTCCAGGAGCAGAACAGAGCTCTGTACGTAACATTTTTTTGATCTGGCCAAGGTCTTTGATACTGTCAGTCATGAGGGTGTGTGGAAGATCATGGAAAATTTTGGTTGCCCAGAGAAGTTCATCAGTACGGTATGCCAGTTCCATGATGGCATGCTTGCTTGGGTTCCGGATAATGGACCATGCTCTCACACTTTCCCAGTCACCAGTGGAGTGAAGCAGGGCTATGGGCTTGCTCCCATGCTTTTTAGCATGATGTTTTCAGTGGTGTTCTCAGATGCCTTCAAAGAGGACAAAAATGTCATCAACGTCAGCTACCACACCGAGGGTAAATTATTTAACTTGAAAAGCCACAAGCCAAGACTAAAATGGAGGAAGAGTTGGTACACAACTTGTTGTTTGCACATGATGTGCACTCAATGCAGCCCTGGAGGCTGAGATACAACAGAGTTTGGATTGATTCTCTACTGCTTGTGCTAATTTTGGCCTAACAATTAACACCCAGAAAACATAGGTTCTCCACCATCCAGCACCACATCATTCATACACAGAACCATCAGTTACAGCAAATGGAGAAATTTTGAGTGATGTAGATAAGTTCATTTACCTTGGCAGTAAACTTACCAAGCATGTGCATATAGATGATGAGGTTGAGGCACACATTGCCAGAGCTAGCTCAGTGTTTGGGTGGCTTTGAAGGAAAGTGTGGAAGAGAAGAGGTATTAGGTTGCCTACCAAACTGAAGGTCTACAGAGCTGTTCTGCTGACTTCATTATTGTATGCCTGTGAAACCTGGACAATATAGCAACACCATGCCAGGAAACCAATCACTTCCATTTGAATGGTCTTAGGAAGATTCTGAAGATCACCTGACAAGAGCACTTCAGAGAGTGCAACTCTGATGGGCTGGCCACATTCTTTTTTTTTTTTAAGGCAATTAGGGTTAAGTGACTTGCCTAGGGTCACACAGCTAGTAAGTGTCAAGTGTTTGATCTGAGTCTGGGTTTGAAATCAGGTCCTCCTGACTTCAGGGCCAGTGCTCTATCTACTATGCCACCTAGCTACCCCCTTGGTCACATTTTTAAAATGCCAAAAGTATGTTTGCCTAAAAGACTATTTTATGGAGAACTCATACAAGGCAAGTGCTCACACAGAGGTCAGAAGAAGTGATACAAGGACACTCTCAAGGTCTCTCTGAAGAACTTTGGAATCAATTGTAATACATGGGAGACACTGGCAAAGGACCATCCAGCATGAGATGGGAAGGCAATGTGCTCTATAAGCAAAGCAGAATTGCAGTAGCTCAAAGGAAATGTGAGATGTACAAATTTAGTCATCTCCACTCCAGAAGTTTATATGGACTATTTGTGTCCAACCTGTGGTAGAACCTCTCAAGCTCCTATTGGTCTGACCAGCCACCGTTGGACACACTGTACCTTGACCCCAACATAGTGACAAACCTTAGGGAATCTCAAGGGTTTGGGAAGAAAGTGAGAAGCTGAAAACAAAAAACAAAACAGAAAAAGAGCAAGTAGAGAGATAGGAGGAGAACCAGAAGAGTGTATCATCGCAAACTAAGAGAAAAGAGACTGTACAAGCAGGTGATCAATTGACTTAATATGGGGCTCTCAGGGGCTTTCTGAGGGTAGGAGAGGCAATCAGGCTCTCTTGTGCACTTTTCCTACCATTTAGAGCAAACACAGGCCACAACAGACAAATGAAAAACAAATGCACAAAATTAATGTGTCTAGAATCAAATTTATATTTGCAGCTTGAAACAATCTTGCTATGGATGGTGTGGTGGGAGCAATATCTAACTCTCTCTCTGCCATGCAAGTTAGGCTAATTTTTTTTTCTTAAATGGTATTAAAATCATCTTCCAGACTCATTTGTCACAGGGGCCTAAAGGCTCCAGCTGTTGACAACATTTCCTGGTCCCCTGAATACAACTATACATAAGGCACTCCAGCTTCTCTCTGATGCTTAGCTGGTGGACCACAGTAGGTAATTTGTAGGCAGAAAATCTTTGCTATTGATAAGTAAATCTTCTCTTGTTAACTGTTGAATAAGCTATGGGTATCTCGTTTCATTTCACTATCAGACCTAAACTACCAGGGAACTGATTTCAATCAGGCCCAGCACAGAACAAACAATGAGGCTAAGATTACAACAGCTAGTT